ATATCAAAGCAATTGGACTTGCGGTTTTTAACAAGAAGTTGAAAATATCACTTTTTACCAAAAATGACAAAAATATTCACCAAAATTAGAGAATTGAAGATATGATCATGAAATGAACAAATCTGAGAGAGGTCTACCCAAGGTACAAATACACCAAGTATCAAAGCATTCAGGCTTGTAGTTTTCAACACGGTTTTCAAGAAGAAGTCGAAAAAGTAAAACATTGACACGAACGACGACGGACAATCACTCATATGATAAGCTCCGCTCACAAAGTCGACAGCGGAGCTAAAAAGACATTTGACAAAAATTTCACATCAAAGGGCTTTATTTATTGTATTATGTACAAACTATCTCTAAAGGAAAAAAAAAAAGGAATCCTGTCCCTTTCCCCATACATTTGCACTTTGAGCTTCAAAATAAGAACATACATTTTTTTTTATTTATTGAAGAGTCATTTCAATGTCCAACCAGAATTATATATTACTATAATATATAATCAAATCATAACATCCAAAATTACAAGTGTTCAACATTTGAATTCTGTGGGGATGGATGAAAAAGTCTTGCATTTTACTTTCTATTTAAACATTGGTAGTTTATACTTTAGATTATCCTTTTAACCATCATCAATAATTCTTATAAACTGCACTGGTACCTGACTATTTGGTATAACCAACACCTAAAGCTATGAAGTATAACTACATCTAAACTTACTGTAAACCGTTATTTTCACAATCTAAGAGCATACATGATGAAATTGCATGAAAGTCAACACAACTGCTTGTTTTCAGAATTTTTCCAAGACTCAAACGTTTTTCACCATCAAAATGAAATACCATTGAAGGTTATTTGCCACCAGTGGTCATCACATGAGCTTACCTCAACTGAGGCCTGGTAAAACAAGAACTGTTGTCATACATTATGAGGATTAGTTTTAAATCCAGAAAAGTAGTATCTTTCTACATACTTCAATCTCTGTAACCACAAATTTCAAGATACATGCATTGATTGTTTGAGTCTAGAATCTAGATTACTTTCGTAAACAGTAGCAATCAGAGTTAACATGACTTGATAGTGATTTCAACACAGGAGTATAGGCTTTGATAAAGCTGGACCACTGCTTGTTACACTTACATGGCTAACAAGATAAACTAACTACGGTATTGTGCCTCTGCGTTTATTGTAGAGGTCTTAGAAAGCAGAGATTGATTATGCTAGTTGATTTAAACTAACCACACTCATCACATCATGTTTGCTCAAATTAATCGCAAAACACAGAATCGAGTCAGAATGAAGGTTGGTGCACTGTGATATCATTTGACAACAACATACATACATATTAATATCAAATACTGTGATGGAGCTAGTTTATGATATACTGTGGCCAATGTTATTTTAATATCTGGGACACATTTCTGTATATTTAGTATCACTGCCATATAGTTTCGGACACACACTACATGATTAATACTGGTTGGATGAAGCCATTTTTTTCAAGAGTCTGTCCGGCTAAACACACTCAATTATTAATATTATGCCAAGTACACTTGATGGAAAGTAATCTGGTAGATATCAAAGATCTTGATATATAGATAACCAAAAATTCAGTTGCGCAGGAATATAAGAGGTAAATTTTAAAATGTAGTGGACGATCATCAAAATAAAGGACCCATACAATTTACAAAACAATATAATACAAAAATACCCTTATTTATGAAATATAAAAACAAATCACATCAAATTTAACATATATTTTATCATTATTTATAATAAAGAAATTTAGAATGTGAAAAACTTGTCAGAATGAAAAAAAGAGAATATAATTATTGTACAAGTGTGTCGCCAAAACATTTAGTAAATTGTTAGAATGCAGTACAAGAAAAGAATACCCGGTAAGTGTTAGGATCATGATAGTTGCATCTCAAAATAAGGAGAATGTTACATGAAGTATGAAGCAGAAGCAAAAATACTTGAAGATTAATTGAATATAGTACAAGTAGTATTCACACTATGGGATAAGACAAAACTAGTATCACCCCCATGTATGCAGAAAGAAACAAGAGCTAAACAGTAGGGAGTGACAGACAAAGTAAGGAATCTTTACACAATGTAATATGAAACCATATTTTTTCATAAACCGTACGATTTGTAAATTAATTAAATGGCGTGATAGTCTGTAAATTTACAGCAAAATACGCGTCTTACCACATGTTAATGTACACATGATTGAAGATAGGGTAATAGAATTGCACCTTTTTTCTTGTACTAAAACATCAGTTCATATTTGAAGGCCTGAGCTTTTTGACTCCTGAAATAGCATCTCAGTTTAAAGCACAGGATTAACTATATTTACACATCCCAGATACAAAGCAAAAACATTAAAGACTTAATCAATTGATAACAATATATCAAGTATAAAACATTTAAGATCATAAAAGTTGGGGGAAAAACATGTAGAATGGAAGAAAATGCCAAAATCTTCTCTTGTTATCCCAAACTGATAAAATAAAATTTTGTTTTTTTTTCTATTCTAACAAAATATACTCTATATAGACTTGATTTAAAACATGCAACTCACCATTCTGTCATTTCAAAACAAAGACATATTGCTGTGAGTCTGACCTATGTGTAATTGTATTAGGAAATCAACTTATAAAATTGTAGAATTATGAAAATACAATTATATATTAATTTGATTAGACATGAAATAATAATAAGCTATGTTACAGATATTACTATACTGATTGTAAGGACAGGAAATAATTTTGCTGACAACTTTGGTTCTGATTTGTAGGCAGTCGTGTATACAGACAATGAAAATACCATACTCCACTAGCTTAAATTAGTTTAGAGCACATGGGGACTGAGTTTAGAACAGGCTTTCCGTTTTCTGAATAAAGTTCAATCTTGTTCCCCAAGACTCAATTGTGCAAAAAATACGTCTGTTATGTTGATTCTTTTGGTTTTCTCCTGCCTAAATTCACTTTTCGCCCAAACTCGGAAACAAACTATGTTGTCAGCCGTCATTTACTTGCCATCTTACTACATCTGACACAATTAGAAAGGAATTTATCGGTGTTAATTTTAATAAAACAATACAAACCCATCACCACCACTTTCTAACTTCTATTGAACACACTCGGCTCCACATACATGTGGCTTGATTGTGCCTAATGTTCTAATTTCTCTAATACACATATTTATGCTTACAAGTCTTATTTATAGTCAATGTAAGTCAAACTTATCTTCACAGAGGTTGAAATTAAACAGGAAATAGTAACAATAGGATTATTGTTGCAAATAATTCCACTGTTGCTTTTGATAGAGTCTACGTGCGATTATTATTATTATAAATTCTGAGGCATGCATGAACTAGGAATACTACCATTTCAACAAAACTCATGGGTATACAAAGCGTGTTAAAAAACATGAATAGTAATCATTGACCCCAGCACAGAATCATACATTTCACTCTCTGGGTCGAGTAGCATCTACCAGGAATACAAACAATGAATGGAACTAAATGTGCTCCAAAACTTGCAGAGGTCTTTGACGCCTGTTATTGTATCAATCCTTTATTCATCTCTGACAGTATTCTCGGGGGCAAATATCCAGGCATTTTCACCACCTGGCAACCATCAATCTGAAAACAAAGGCCGAAAACTCTCAGAAATCTGAACTTTGCTTTGTGCAACATATATTAATTTATATCAAACGTTGAGTTTGTGCTTTTCACCAGCTCTTTGGCCAGCGCTCCACAGCTACTCATGCAGAGTCAGTACTGTGACATAACTCTGCCCCTGAGAATACCATAATAGCTAATACGCCATACTGGGGAGGGAGAGGGGTGGAAATTCTCTAATATTACTACCAATGATGTCAGTTACTGTAAGTTTTGATGGAATGGCAGTGAAGTAAATCAGTCTATATATACATAATTACAAATCTACAACAATCTCCACATAATTGGTTGGAAAATAACCACTTTTTCCTCGTACAGTTCCTTCAAGCCAATTCTCATCTATTCTATTGGTAAGGGTGATCATATCTCCTTCTTCAAATCCAAGCTCGCCTTCGTTTTCAGGATCAAAGTCGTACAAGGCCTTGGCACATGCCGATTTCACTGCACCTGTACCTGAAATGTAATGTTCGTTTTCAAATATTGGGCCATATACTTCATGTTGCAATAACCAAACATAGATGTTTATTTAAGCAGCTTAGTCTAATCTATACCAGGGATTGATGATATGAAGTCATGGGAATTACGACACAAAAAATCACAGACCTACATTTCTAGAACTACTAATGAGTGAGTCTGTGAAGGCAATGATTAGTGTCTATGTCAGGATGTTTTATGAGATTTTTACATGCCAGTTAAGTGATTCTCATAACGTCAAAATAAATAGCTGCTCGTAATCAGCCCAAGCACATCTCGAAAAATAGTCTAATCAGATGAATGAACTGATGTGAGTCCATAAGTTTGATTAGGGACTAATATTGCACAAAATGTTTGCCCATTGCCATTAATACAGAAGTACTTACCAGGTGAAGGAGATGTTATATATCCACTATCAGCACTATCAAAATTATCATAAATACCTTCTGTAACTTTTTTAGGTTTGCGTTCAGTCTTTGGACGACTATTCGCATCATTTACTCTGAGAATAGAACAGATAATTATTAAAAGTGATCTCTCTTCAAGTTGCAGGTAATGGAGGCTTATCAAAGATGCTGGATAGCAATTCAATGAAGGTTATTACAAGAAGATTTTGAACAGCAATATACATGTAGTGATATTGATCACAATGTAGCCATTGCTTCTTGTAGCAATACTTTGTGTAATGTAGCTATTTTTTTTAGCAAAACAGTGTCCCATACTGCAATATTGCCTTCCATTAATTCTTGCAATCACAGTATAGAAACAAAGAACCTTTTTTATTAATAATACAAAACAATGGTTATAACAAGCTACAAACAAGACTGAATGAAATGATACTGGACTAAAAATACCAAGTAAAACAAAAACATTTAGACAATCTATAGAGCCAATACAATATTATATACGTACCTGTCTTGAAGTTGAACAGCAAGTTCCTTTAATATTGTTAATGATTGTTCATGGTACTCTACTTGTGCTTCAGTCAAAGCTAATAACTGACTAACTTGTTCTACCTGAGAATACAGAAAATAATGACACCATGAAGTGACTTGACAACCTACTCGAGTAGCCAAGCTACTAAGCTTTATATCTAATCGCAGCATGGTTGATATTGTGTGAATCATTAAATTTTCAGACTTTTATTATCCCTTGTTTCGCGAACCTGCCAAATGAACAGGAGCTGAAAATGAAATAAAAATAAAATTTTATTTCAGCGTAAATTCTCATAATTTATTTTTATCTTCATTTTTTTCCCGCCCGCTGCATAACAAATCCAAGTTGCATTTTCGTGGGAGTATCATGATCAAAGTCTCGCGCAGATGAGAAACAAGGTTATACATAAAATAAAATTTTATTTCATTTCTTCTCTCCGATCCATGATCTCACTTACAATTCTCTGAAAATCACACAAATCTAATGGAAAAAAAGAATTAATTATATTTTTTTTCCGCCTTCCTCAAAAAAAAATGCCTTATAAAAACTCGAGAAACAAGGAATGCATAAGGCCTAATTTTGTGAGTGTCTCTATGACTCCAGCCATATCTTTTGAACGCCAGTGAAATGCCTACTGCTACAAATAATCATGAATTATTTTCTCAGACATAGTTTTTTTTGGTTATCTCTAAATTTATTTGCGTCTCACATTGTGGTTTCGTTTTTTCCTACTGTTCAGAATTTCTATAAACAATATTCCTTTAACATACACAGAAATGGAATGTTTTAACATTTCAATAATACTTCCTATGATCAAAATATATTATATGTCAGGGCTGAACTGAATTGTGAGGGGCTCGATTTTCCAGACAAAATGGTTTCATTTAAA